CTTTAAACCAAATAAAATAAAAAAGTGAACTCCATAATCCAAACCTTGAGTGTAGTGCAATTTTGCTTTTTCAAAGATAATTTTTAATACTAAACGTACACTTTGTAATACTTAATCATGCACTTTTTAACAACTAAATGTGTATTTCTGGAAAATTTTGAGGAGTACAAGGTATAGTGTGAAAAGTTGCAAAGTAAAGTTGTTAATAATTACGAAAATGTAATTGCATTTTTTGTTTAATTTGATCTGATCCGTTTGCTTTTTTTAAATATAAGGCTGGGATTGGTTCTTAGTTTTTTGAGTTAATACCATCTGAGGTCCTCTGAGTATAATGGTTTTGCCACGTTTATCCTAAACTTTTAAATTGACCATTTGTGGTCCTTCGATTTCAAATTTAACCATTCATGGTCCAAGTTAATTAACCACTCATGGTCCTTCAAGTTTCGAAATTTAACCAGTTGTGGTCCTCTTAAAAGGACCATGGTTGGTTAAAATTTAATAGTTGAAGGACCATGGGTGGTTAACTTGGACCACAGATGGTTAAATTTGAAAGTCGAAGGACCACAAATGGTCAATTTGAAAGTTTAGGACTAAACGTGGCAAAACCACTATACTCGGGGGACCTCGGATGGTATTAACTCTAGTTTTCTCCTAAGAATTTGTTCTCATTTGAGTGCAGACTGATCTTAGTCGTCCATTAAAGTTCATCAATGGTTAAGGGTTTTAGTAAAAAAAATACGGGGTTCGTTTTATAATTATTGAAAAATGAAAACTTTTAAGAACGGGGGTACATTTTATAATTATTATAAACTTGAAAGTTTAATAATGATAAGTGTTAGGAATCTATTAGTTGTGTTGTATTAGGACTCGTCTTGTTGTACTCTTATATTATCTTTGTACAGTCCTTTGTGAATAATATTCAGAACATTCAATCCTCATTTGGCATGAGTAGTTTCAAGGTTTTGACATGGCAACAACCGGTGCTAATGACGGTTCTGTTTGAGTTTCTTCTGAACAGACTATCTCCGAGGCTGCTATGTCAGCTCGATTGCAACCTAATAATTCTCTACCCTCCGCTCATCACAACTGTGTATCCATCAAATTAACCTCTCAGAATTATCTTTTCTGGCGAACACAGTTAATTCCTTTTTTACACGGGCAAGGGCTATTAGGGTCTGTTGATAGCTCCTTGCCATGTCCGGGCAAGGGCTGTTAGGGTCTGTTAGGGCAAGTGCTTGGTTTACTCGGTTACACTCTTTCTTGGTTTCGGTTGGCTTTACTCCTTCTAAGACTGGCGTTTCTTTATTTATTTATTCTCGTAGTTTTGTTCAGTTGTATTCTCTTGTATATGTAGATGACATTTTGGTGATGAGATTTGACTCTACTCGAGTGTCTGGTCTTGTTGCGAGAATGGAGTCTGAGTTCAAAATACGCGACATGGGAGTTTCTTCTTTTTTTCCTTGGCATTGAGACGATTCTGTGGTATAGTGGGTTGCTTCGATCTTTCTCAACAGCGGTATATGAATGATATTCTGAAGCGTGCAGGTATGGTTGACTGTAAGGCAGTCACCACGCCTGTCTCTCTATCTTGTACTAGTGATGGTCCTGAGGTTCCATATGTTGATCTCACGCAGTACCATAGTTTGGTTGGGGCTCTGCAGTATCTTACGGTCACGAGGCCTGACTTATCTTTTGCGGTGAACAAATTGTGTCAACACATATATGCTCCTACTACTGAGCACTAGGGTATGCTCAAACGTGTACTCCGTTATGTTAAAGGTACACTTCATTTTGGTCTGCACATCACTAAATATGCTTTTGTTGATATTCCTACGTTTTTGGATTCGGATTGGGCTGGTGATCTGGATGACCAGAAGTCCACGAGTGACTTTTCAGTTTTCTTAGGAAATAATTTGGTTTCTTGGACTTGTCGGAAGTAACGCACTATGGCACGTTCTTCCACCGAGACTGAGTACAAGGAACTAGCTGATGTGTCTACGGAGGTGACTTGGCTAGTTTCTCTTTTGAAAGAACTTGGTTTGTATCCTACGTTTTCAGCCAAGTTGTGGTGTGATAACTTGGGTGCTACATACTTGTGTGCTAATTCGATGTTTCATGCACGAACGGAGCATATTGAGATAGATTATCACTTTGTTCGTGACAAGGTAACTAAGAAGGAATTGCGAGTTCACTTTATCTCTACGAGGGATCAGCTGGATGATATCTTCACTAAGGCTCTCTTTGGTTCGCGTTCACTTTTCTACGGGATAAGCTCAATGTTGTTCCTTATCAACCTTGTGCTTAAGGGGGAGGTGTTTGGAATCTATTAGTTATGTTGTATTAGGACTCGTCTTGTTGTATTCTTATATTATCTTTATACAGTCCTGTGTGAATAATATTTAAAACTTTCAATCCTCATCGTAAAATCCTAGCCTTCTTAAGATGGAGGGTGTAGATGTATGTGTCTACACTTTTTATCGGAGAAGGTGTTCTCACCTGGACCCTCCTATATATATATATATATATATATATATATATATATATATATATATATATAGTGAAAGGTTCCCGTGCGGTTGGATGTTTCCAGTGCGGATGTGCAGTGGATTAATGTGCGTGAGATTTGTACTCAATGTGCGTGAGTGTTGTGCTTAATGTGCCTGAGATTTGTACTTAATGTGCGTGAATGTGTAAAATGCAGCAGAAAATATTGATGTCAGCTTCTTCCCCATCCCAGTAGCCATTTGCCCCTCCCTGTTGACGATGATGCGGAAGCGAGCTATGGTGGTTAAGAATTATGGGAATAATACAACAGAAATTCACACTTAGCTGCTGTGCAAATTTTACTGTGTGTGCGTCATTTATATAAACATTCAACTGCATTGAAGGTAGCTGATAATCCAGAATCCATGGCCAAATTGAAGGAAGAAGTAACAAGAAACTCGGGCGTTAATGTGCGTGAGTTTCTGTTCTGCTTCATTCTGAGCTCGTAATTCTGAAATACTCAAGCACATTAAGCACAAATCTCACGCACATTAAACACAATACTCAGGCACATTAAGTAAAAAACTCACGCATATTAACATGACGCACATTAAGTACAAATCTCAGGCACATTAAGTACAAATCTAATGCATATTAAGTATAAACCTCACGCACATTAATCCAACGCACATCCACACGGGAAGCAACAAATGCACCTGATCCCTTCCCTCTATATATATATATATATATATATATATATATATATATATATATATATCTATATCGATCTTGTATTTTTTTTTGAACTTGTAACCTTCTAATTAAAATAATAATAATAATATCATCAAATCACAGTAGACTTGGCAATTCGTCATAACTTTAAAGTTGAGTTGGTGAACATTTTGACACACGTGCCACTTGGCCCATGCAGCTTCATTTTTTAAATTTTTTTTGGGACAAAAATAGAGTATTTAGCAAATAACATCATTATTCTTTCTTCCAAATTAGCAAAATTGCATGGAAAACTGAGAAAAAAAAACCTCTCATTCGACTGCCCTAAGCTATTGGTTGAAAACATCATTTCTTCAATTTCTTATAAGTGCTTAAATATTTTGAATATGGTGTGTGCTATAACATCTTGTATTTCATTAAACATTAGAGCCAATAAATCTTAATATAATTGGTACACATGCAATAATACCTTGGTAGAACTTTGAATTGATTAGTAATTTAATACTCTGTTGTATCATATCAAAAGTATCATAATTTTTCTAATTGGTAACAATTAAATAATTTATCCAATATTACATTTTTTTCAAAAGTAATTATTCAATCCCTAAATATTAAATTTTAATTTAAAAGTACTTTCATTTTTTTTCTTGAATGCTACTGACTTTATTACATTGTAGTATCTGTTTAAAGATATCGATGCCACAGAGTCAACAACACCTCCACTGAAGCTCGATCTCATAACCTCCCCCATAGTAGAGGTCACTACATGTCATATGATCACAAGGTGTTTGACTTATCAAAAGTATTTTAACTTTTTTTTATAAAATAATAAATAAATTATTCATGATTAATATTACATTTTTCAGTATAAATATTACATTTCTATCGTAACCTAATCCGCTTCCCAGATAAAGAACCGTGATATAGTCTTACAATTCGCTTACTCTTTCATTAAACATTAGAGCCAATAAATTTGTACACATGCAATAATACATTGGTAGAACTTATTTTAATAATCCGTGGTATCAACTAGCACCGTACCATTTGCCCAATTGGGTTTGCAGTGATGTTCAATTCGACGCCATGGACCATGGTGGCGATAATACGACAAAATAAAGCTACTCCATTGCAGATTAATTAGAATTGAAGCCGTCAATATAAAAACATCCATACTTATTGCATGGACTATGGTCTACATAGCTGTGTCCAAAAACAACTATTATTTTATTTAATTTATTTTTTTGTGTGCCCAGTTATAAGATATATTTTTATAATCTATAATGTACATTATTTTAAAATATAATAACATTATTTTAAAGCATAATGTATTATTCTAAAGCATAATGTACATTATTCTAAAACATAAGATACATTATGTTATTCTAAATATTTCATTATTCAAAATACGTAATGTACATTATTCTAACACGTAATGTACATTATGTGTTAAAATGTACATACGTGCTCAAAACCCCATGTACATTATTATGTGTTAAAATGTACATTTGTTATCCTAGATGTTTCATTAATAAATACGTAATGTACATTATTCTAACACGTAATGAATATTATTTTAACACATAATGTGCATTATTTTACTCATAATATTCATAACGATATTTTGTACCGTGGTCCACAGCGTGGGTCCACACAATAATTTGCCATAAAAACAGTTAGTCGCAGCATATATATAATAATATAAAACAAATATTTTCTCAAAACCCCACGTTTCTAAAAGCATCCATCCATCATTCTCTTCAAACTTTTCTGCAGCCGGAAACAGCATGGAAGCTTCAAAACCCATACAATATCCATTCATGTTTGAATGCTACCAATTTTTTATTTTATCAATCGTAAAAGCCCTTAATGTTTTCACCTTCAACCGTATAAATACCTCGTTCACCCTTTTCGGCTCCTCATTGCTTTTCGCTATATCTATCTTTAACAAGAAAATTGGGAAACAGGAAAGTTTAGTTGGTAAAAACGTTGTTTTACTCAAAATGATGTTCGGAAATGCTGAGGTTATGCCTGATTTTGCCCTTCTTGAATATATTCGACGCCACTTGCTCGACGACTTTGATTCTCCGGTGGCGTCAGTAACAGACTACAATTATTCGCCGGATTCCAACTTCAGTGGAGGCTCCGGGTGGTCGTCTCCGGTGGATGAGACACCCACTTCCGTGGTCAAGGAAGAACCGGAGATGGCGTTCTATGATTTTCCGGCGATTCTTGATTTTACGCCGGTGCCTCCTCCGGCGGTGGAGGTAGCTCGGCCAGCAGCCGTTGAGAAGCACTTCAGGGGTGTGAGGAGGCGGCCGTGGGGGAAGTTTGCGGCGGAGATAAGGGACCCAGCCAAGAATGGGGCCCGGGTGTGGCTGGGGACATACGAGACGGCGGAGGATGCGGCGGTGGCCTACGACAGGGCGGCGTACCGCATGCGCGGGGCACGTGCCTTGCTGAATTTTCCGCATAGAATCAACTCGGATGAACCGGAGCCAGTTAGAATCAGAAGCAAGAAGAGATTCGCTTCAATGGATTCTTCATCCTCCTCCACATCATCGGAAAATGTCTCATCTAAGAGGAGGAAGACGGCGGCTTAAGCAAAAAGAATTCATTAATTTTTTTTTTTGTTTAATTTGTTATTTATTATTTTTAGCTTTGTTGATTTGTAGTTGTTGAATGAACTAATCAAAATTGCATTGGTTTCTTCACAACAGAAAGCACTTTCTTTCATCATTTTTTAATTACTTTTTATCCATAAAGTATATTGAATCATAAAATTGCAACTTTAATTATAATGGAGAACCAAACAAAATTGATTAGGTTGATTTTTTTTTTTTGAATATTACTGTCTCTATTACATTGTAATATCTGATCTAATGACTTTTCATATGAGAGATGCCACTTTATATCATCTGAACTCAATATACTTGGCAATTAAATTGATTTAATAATCACAAAATTACAAATTATAGACAACCTCTAATTTTGGATACATTTTTATCATTAAAAAAAAAAAACTTAGCTATAAATCAAAATCATGGATGTCCACATCCACCAACAAACCAAAACGACATCATTAGCACTGTCGAAATCCATAGTAGTTAGTACAACAATTTTAATTGCAAGATGGAGACATGAATAATAGATTTTGTGGGTATTCTTCTCCGAAAAGGTTGAATCCTTAACTCCAAACACCCCACATCCCAATCTAACAGAGTATTTGGGAAGATGTAAATCACGGTGACACATGGCCTAATATTGGTGTGCACAAGGGATCTGTCCACTTTGAACATAATCTCAACATTGTCACCACCGAAGTTCTGTGGATTATGTCTCCATATATGCTCGGAAAACAGTTTCGAACAACAACTCTGTAGCATTTTTATCAAAAATATTTATCATAAACAGTTGTGTATCAATAAAGTCGTTGTTAATTAGCTAGTACTTTAGTAGTATTAAATTAAGGAGAACGATGAAATTTATTTTATGTTAATTGATATCAATATTTATATAATAATATAGATATAGAAGTACACACATTGATATGAATTTGTATAAATGTTTTGTTATTGGAACATCAACTAACACTCCAAAATCTAAGAATCTAATTTTTAAAATGTATCCGTGTTTAATGATTTAAATATCAAACTCCTTAGGATAAACATTTTACATGTTTGGTCTGCAAATATATAGTTTAGAGGAATAATAATCCTATTTAATAGAGAATGAAATATACAAGGAATAAAATAAGAATTATATGCCAAAGACTTTGTGGTCAAGCGACATAATTGTGGCTCTCTCAAATGAGAGATCACAAAGAACATATATTACATTGTAACAGAGTTAATATTACTTAAAAAAATAAGAATTATATTCTATTGCTTAATTTATAAAAGGATTAGGTTTTAAGAATATAATGTATTCTAAAATTTAATTGGTTGGATTAAGTAATATTGAGTGTGAATAATGATAATAATAATAATAATAATAATAATAATAATAATAATAATAATAATAATAATAATAATTGTTATTATAAGATACATTTTCAATACATAACAAAAAATTTCAATTATTTTTTAGAACTTACGAATAATTTAATACTAGGGTTTCACAAAATAGGTATTTCCCTTTCAATGGCAATAACTCATTTCCGTAAATGATATTCTTCATAATAAAATTATTTATTAAACCGATAAATAGATCTATTTTCAAATTAAAAATGTTACTTTGTTTTTTTTTTTTTTTTTTTTTTTTTGAAGAACAAAATGTTACTCTATTTTAGACATATTTTATAAACCAAAAATGTTTTAATGAAAAAATTATTATCGCTTAATTATGCAAACATTACTACTTGTTGGGTAATTTAAATTTTTCTAATTTTATTTTTAAATTGGAAAGCTTAAAATGAAAAAGAAAAATAGAATAGAATTCTTTACTCAAAGCAAACTTTAAAAAAAAAAAAAAACCAACATAGAAGATGTAAAATAATTCTTTACTTAATAATGTTAAAATATAAAAATTATTGTGTAAAAAAACACAAGAAAAATAAACTCTACAAATAAATTTGTGTAGCTCAAACTGTCAAACACATGATCCACGAGGGCTGTAAGGTTCAACTAGCCTGAACCACTTGCTTGGTTTCTGCAACGACATGCGTTGAATGCCAGCTATTATCTCATCCAAATTAAACATTATCCTTCTATTCATACTAAATCTTAATTGACATTATTGTCAAGTCAAACTACTATTTGATTAATGTTTTGTCCCCTCTTAGACTTATGTGAGTTTTACTGTACTATAAGTCCGTCGTCCTCATCGATCAAATCCTCCACAATTTCACATTCCGACGTACTCAACTAATGAGATTTAATTTTGAAGGAGTAACCATAGTAATTCAACGACTTTTTAAGTGAAAATGGAATCTTTAATTTATAAAGGGAAAATAGCACTTTTTTCTCCCTGAGTTATATACTTATAGAATTTTTCTCCCTGAATTATTCAAGTGGTTGTTTTCCTCCTGAAATATTAAATGGACATATTTACCCTTAAAATAAATATTTCATTTATTTTTCTTCTCCAACAAATTATGACCACAATTTGGTTCAAACTAAATAGACATTATAGCAACCAAACTGAAATATGCTAATTACAATTTAGAATCGAAACCCGATATTTAGAGTTTATTAAAATCGCGAACCGGGACGGCAGGTTCATGTTCCGAACTGACAAAATAAAATAAAATACATTTATTGTTGAATTTAGACTATTTTAAAATTAAAAAAAATAAAATTTTAAAATAAAGACGGTTCAAAATCGCGAACAGGATCCGGATCCGCCGGTTCACAGTTCAGGATCCAATTTTTTCGATTCATAATTTTAATAAACTGAAATTCAAATATTGGGTTTTGGATCTGAATTATAACCGAAAACTTTTAATTCGATTGCTATAGTGTCCGGTTCAATTTGAATCGAATCGTGGTCATCCCTACGTATACGCAATAATTTATTGGAGAAGAAAAATTAATAAAATGTTTATTTTAAGGGTAAAAATGTCAATTTAATATATCAGGGGAAAAAACTGCCACCTTTAAAATAATTGAGGAGACTAATGTGCTTACATGAATAATTTGGGGGGAAAAAGTGCTATAAGTATATAACTCAGGGAAAAAATGTCATTTTCCCATTTATAAATATTATAAACAAGTCACATGTGTTATACGAATATCATTTAGAAGAACAATGACATTAGTTTTAATCCTATATACACTGCTGGAAATCTCGCTAAAATATACAATATAATTTCACGATAAATTAAAGTAACTAGAGTGTAGAAGTGATTATAAGTATTATTGTATATATGGTTGTCATCTGAATACAATTTAGCATAATATATATATTTTTTTACTGTAATCTTTCATCATTTTGATAATAATAACGATTTTTGGAAAAGCCTACCTGCAGCCACTAAAAAAAGATGTGGAGATAAATCAACATAAGTTGTCCATTACTAACCGACTCAAATCAAGAAAACAAATAAATAGCTATCACAGGAAGTTAAACTTGGAACCTTTTAGTTATCAAGCCAATTATCATATCGATTTGGTTGGGATTGCCCCTATTTTTTATATTCCCGTAAAGATTGAATCCCCAAACTTAAGGGCCCCACACGTCCCAACCTAACAGAGCATGTGAGATTATGTAAATCACGATAATTCAGTGCTCAGTAGACATGACCAAATGTCGATGGGCACAAGAGATTTGCCAATTTTAGACATAATACTCACACTACCGCTGTCGAGTTTCTAACTTTGGTCTCTTCCCTCAAATAGAGCCTACTGAACCAAAATCGTGCGAACCCCTGGTCTTTTCCTTTTTCTATTGAATGACCAAATTGTTTATAATAATAATAATAATAATAATAATAATAATAATAATAATAATAATAATAATGTTGTAACAAAATAGACTTGACCTTTTCATCTGGATCCAATACCGTTTATGTGTCAAGTTCAGTGTATTGAGTGCACGTATTTGTATTTTAAATTTATTATTAAAGTCAGAGAATCTAGCTTTTATTATTTTATATCATGTGCACAGTATTAGAAACGTGACGTTAGAGTTACCCATTAATGCAATGTGGAAACCTTCTAGAAATTAAGAGTGTATCATTGAAGTTGAGTCAACATCAATCAATGATTATAAAATGCATTTAGATGTATTCAATATGTATCGTCATGTTGTTGGTGTAGACTGGGGAAGGGAGGGGAAAGAAATACAATTTAAAAAATTGATAAATGTACTCTCATAAAGTATAATATATAATGTATGTATAAATTTTATTGAGTAAATAAAAATAAATGACTAAAAATGATGATTTTAGTTTTTAGATCAATCAGAGCATGACGCATTACTATATCAGCACGGAGTAATAAATGGAGTAGAAAGTGAGAATAGATGTATTATTCTACAATTTTTATTTTACACCGAAGTTTTAGAATTTTATTACTCTTCTTCACTTTTCACGCATTTTTTTACCATTTAACTTGAAAATTGTCAAATTTGTTATGAAGACTTAGTATGTGGCCATTATGCTTAAGAGGTAGTTACACTTCCCAATTGATACGAAGCATTTGTTATATATATATTGTACGTGTAAATTTGACAACGAAATTAATGACAATACTCCCGTATATTTTCTTGAGCAATATCAATTATCGTTTTACTTTTCCCTCTCTCTATGTTCGATTACTTTGGCGTTGTTGATCACCGGAGATTAACATAAGGAAGAAAACATTTACGCGTAACACGTTATCAACACGAAGCTCTCAATCAATCCTCGGTGAATGGTACACCCTAATTACATTTTCAGAAATGCCATCCAATGTGAATGTATATATATATATATATATATATATACATATATATACATATATATATATATATATATATATATATATATATATATATATATATATATATGTATATGTATATACATATATATATATGTATATGTATATACATATATATATACATATATATATACATATATATATATATATATATATATATATATATATATATATATATATATATATATATCATGTTTGGGAAATCTGTGCTATTGTGTTTTTATTGCACTGCTATTATAAGTCTTTGATTAGGAGGGCATCTAGATAATCAATTGCATACCCTATTGTCTTTCTGTGCAAT